TACCTACAACAAGCAAATTAAACTTTTAACATACTTAAAATGAAAGGTGAGGGAAAGGATGCTTAGTGCATGGCCCAGCTTTTGCAACTTCAAATGTATCCACTCAAATAGTTCAGGGCTTCTGTTTATTCCACTTCCTGTTGTTGTTGTTTATTCTGCCTTGTTAATTATGATTTTGTTTCACGGACAGCGTTGGATTTTTTCCCTCCCTCGTGTTGTTTTTTATTCCTGTCAGCAGATCACTGTACAAAGTTAATTTTCTAGAACATTCCTGTTTAAAAAAACTCCCTTCTGCACTATTTAAGACGAGAGAAAATATGAAGTCAGGCCATGCAATATGTCGCATTGAAGGCAGCGAGCAGCGTTGAACTACTAGTCTAACAACGATGATTTTAAATGTATTTTAAATATGTAAAATAAATCATTTTTATTATATTTTTAATTTTTAAATCTTTTTAATTAAAATAAATCACCGTAGCATCGGTGGATTTCTGACTTCATGCAGGACTCAACAGCTTTGATTCTAAAGTCCCAAGTTTAAAAGTTGTGTTGCATATCTTGCAAGTTGCCTCATAATCATTGTTTGCTTCCTGCAAACTATTCACTGCATTCTTCATCATGAAGCCATATTACGTTTTATTTTTTTTTATTTTTTTTTTAAAGATTTATTTTGGGCTTTTTGTGTTTTAATGCAGAGAGAGGACAGTGGACAGAGTCGGAAACCAGGGAGAGAGAGCGGGGAATGACATGTGGAAAGGGGCCACGGGTGGAAGCGAGCCCGGGCCTACCGCTCGAGACGAGAGTCTCAATACATGGGACGGCGCCCTAACCACTGCGCCACCAGTATGCCCCGAGCCATATTACTTTTAAAGTGCATTTCCCCATCTTATTCTCCTTCTCTCTTAAGTGGTTTGTGAATGTGTAATACGCTGCTGTAGATTCTATAGATAATCATGTGAACACGCAAATTCACAAAAAAGAATATTAAAAAATCATATGACACTTACTAACCGGTTTAGATTCAAAAAAGTATTACCCAGTGAATGCCATTTGAAATGTAAGACCTCTCACAGGTTTTTTAAGACATTTATTGACCTTAGAATTTGAAAATCTAATTTTACATTTTTGAAGGCTCTGCAGGAACCCTGTAGTGCTGCAAATATGTTCTCAGACCCTTCAACGGGTCATCCCGACTTGGAAGGGCTTTTCCTAATCTGATACTCAATGTTCTGATTATTCCAATGAACACAGTGTTATAGCATGGGTTATTCCCTAGCACGGGTTAACCTCCTCAATAACTGGTGATGACCCAAATGGGGAAATCAGGGTTTTAAAAGCTACCCAAGGGTCTTTCTACACCAGTCTTGCAGGCCAGACAGCACTCCTTTATGATGTGCAGAATTTGTGAAGTAGCCCTTTAAATTATGTCATTATGAACCCCAGCATCCATTGTTCGCCCTGTCAGCCAAGCTAGTAAACTCATAAGATCAAAAACAGTACAAAAGAGGCTTTTCACAATCCAAGCCAAAGATTTGAAGGTCTCAATAAAAAGTTTTTAAAATAACCATTTCCCAAACGAGGCTGAATTTACATATTAATCATTACTTTATGTTTCTACCATGTTGAACACTACGCATCGTTTAAGATGTCTGCTCTGCTGCAAGCAAACTGTGACTGATAATTGCACAATTGCTCACACTTGAGTTGACACAACACTTGAGGGCAGGTTTTCTAGTAACTGGTGTCAAATATGCATTCCAGTAATCAGCTTGTACAGTGTGGCCTTAATGCAGTTAACATGGCGTCTACATCACCCACAGAGTGTGATGTTCAAATACTGGAGTCTGTTTGTAAGTAACACACAGACATTTCCTGCAGTTGCTGTCTTCAGTGAGATTAATAATGGTGTAATTAGCTCAGTGCCCTTTCAAATGAGGAAACATCCACAGGCTGGACAAACAGGCGTACCATTATATCAACAGAGAGTGTATAATCAGGGCGCTGAAGCCACCTTTGTCCTTTTAAAACTCCTGCAGTTAGGTTGTTTTCAGGCAGTCGAAGACCTGTGTTGGATAATCCATCTGTTTTGTACTGAAAGAGTCTACAAGCCTGTGGAGCCAGAGGTAGTCAAAACGTCCAATTTTAGAGATCGATGGCGAAAAGAATTCCCAATATCAGTTTAAGGGGAACAAAATAACCAGTTACGTCTGGCCCATTGGACAATTTAAAGACCCCACATAGGGTGACACATAACCATAGATTGATTTTGTTCCTTTAGTGTGTAGAGAGCAGCAATGTGATCAAAACAGAAACACCACACAAAAAGATTTCATTCATGAGCAACCAGAGTCCTGACTCTCAAAACTTGGAAATGTTGCAACATTTCTCACGGTCGATCTCGCCTCTGGAGTAAACAAACATGGCCGACAATGGGCAGGAAGGAAGTGTTGGCAAAGGTACTTTTAACTGAAAATTCACAGAGAAAACAGTAAAACTATGGATGAAGAAGTGCAGACAGCATGAACATGGTCCGTATGTGTAGGTGAGTGCTTCCTTCTTCGGTCAGCTTGCTTCCCAATTGGCTATCGTTTCCTTGACAAATGACAAAATGTTCCCAGCTAACAAGTATTGAACATTCAGTGCTTACTATTTGAAATTCCTTCAATCTGCTCCTCCTGAGCAGATGGGATCACTCTTAACACACCTCACATCACAGGATAATCTGGTGCGGTAATCTTTAGAGCCCTTATAAATCAGGACTTTGCTTTGGATTTCCTCAGGTGGCAATAAAGCCCAAATTCGGCCCATTCCTCTTGTAGTGTGTATACCCCCATTTAGAGATAAGGTGAATTATATTTTGAATGTGGATTGTGCACTCATACGTGATTGCTGATAGATCTTGGTATGCCTATATCGGCTAGATGATATCGTCCAAATGATATATCAGTCTCTGAAAGTCTGGTTCAGGATCTTTTGGTGGTGTTGAGCCAACATGGCTCAATGTAGCTCTTGGAAAATGTGTCAAGTGATTATCCAGTAAACTAATCAATTACTTTGTATTGTAATATTCCAGCCATACATCAAGTCAAAATGGCTAACTGCAATATGTTCCTACAGTTGATTTTATTCCTCTTCCTGCCAGACTGACTAAGCAATATCAAGGCCGTTGTTTTTGTCCTGCTAAAATGTGTTTTTTACCGATGTTGTATTTATCAAAACCAGATAAATTAGGAATGAAAAGACTCATTACTTGCGGCCCCAGTTTTGAGTGTTTTGGGTTTTGACTGCCAGGGCAGCTGGTGGACTATGATTTTCATATGTTGTCATGCAATTCCAGACTGTTCCACTTGCCAGATTAAATTAGGCAATTTTATGTCCAGTACATCTCAAATTCGAGCACCAGCTATTAGGGCTCATTTGGAGCTCAGTCAGCTGTCTCATTTTGCATCGACCATTGGAAGAGATGACAGACAGACAGACAGACAGACAGACAGACAGAGGGACTGCTTTGAAATCTCACATGTCCTCAAGCGAGGCCTTCGCCCCAGCAGAGAGACAGGACTGACTTGATAGATTGCTGGGTCGTCTGAGACGGATCCATGCACACTAGGTGATGCACTTTGTGTGCTCTATGCCAATATTTGCAAAACTTTAGTTGGACTTAACAATTCTGACTTGAGGCATTTATCAACTAGAAGTTTCAAATAGTTTCTTCGCTGAGCAGCTGAAATATAACAATTCACTGAATATTAATTAATTCTGAGATGTCATTATGGACATTTCTTTTAAAAACATAAAAAAGCTGAAAGATAACTGACAGATGGCATGATAATGATTATAAAAATACTGTATATACAGTAGCCCTAGTCCAGTCCACATGGCTAAAAAAAAAAAAAAAAAAAAGACCACAGCTGTACACCACTGGAACAGAAATGTCCCCAGGCACAAATTAAAGGGGGGACATCAAAACTTCTCCCCTAGCACAGCTTTCAAGATCACACATTATGAGGATAACATTTGCATATTCTCTGCATCAATGTCAGAGCACATAGCAGCCCACTTCCTATAAAGTGGAGCTATAAGGTTGGAAAAACATCATGCACAGCTTGTTTGCCCACCAGTATGCTAATGAATCACATGACTCATGCCAATTTTTTTTTAAACATTTGCAAACATATCAGAAAAGGTGATCACCTCGCAAAAAGAAAAAAAAAATGCAATGCTTAAGATTTGCACCCATACAATTCTCTTTGCTCATAAGCAGCCAGTAAATGCAACATAAAGATGGACAGCTTAGCATCTGGCACTTCACCTTATACCCACACGACTGTCAAAGCACTGAGCGTTTAGATGACTGAGGCATCTAGTCAAAACGTCTTTTTTTTTCTCTCTCCTCCCGCAACAGAGAGATGGCTGTTGCGGGGAGAGGAAGCTGTGGACTTGTACATACAGAGAGGCTGCAGTCAATGAGTGGACTCCTGTTTCCTGCAGTGCGCGTAAATTCCAGTCTGGCTACACTGGTGCGGCACGCGCATCAAGAGGCATCGGATAGCCTCCAACTCCCACACTCTCTCATAGCAGCCCTGTCTGTCATTCATAACTACACCGAGGCGCTGCTGTGTGCAACAACACCCCGGGGGACAAGACAGAGGCGCGTGCGAGCCGAGCACACTCATTATAGCCGCAAAATGACTTGAGGGAAAAGTGCGCACTCTTGCACTTCTCTACCCTCCTCGCGCCTGTTCTATTTCTGCGCGGTGCCAAATTTCGCGAGGTGCAATTGCTAAAATGCGCACACTGTCAAACTCACTCACGCACAAGACTCATGTATTTGCCAGCTTCTTCTTTTTTTTTTTTTTTTTTTTTTTAAACACAACACAGTATAGGCGGGGGCACGTACGCCCGCGCCACACACAGTCACGCGCACAGGTGCAAACGCAAAACTTACACTACAACACAGATAAAAAAAAAAGCCGGACAAACTTATTTATATGTCTTACCTGTCCGCGTGCACTCCTCTGAACACGCATGTCAGCTGATTAAAGGCGAAAAAGACGCACGAGTTTGAGTATGTTCCTCATTTCTGCCTTCCCTCTCCCTTCAATTTCCTCCCCCGACCGCGGTCATCCTCTCCCGGGCAGAGCTTGACTGCACGACTAGCGGAGAGCCGATACTCTCTCTTCTCTTCCCGTGTGTGTATGTGAATGTGTGTGTGTGGATATGTGAATGTGTGTGTGTGTGTGTGTGCGGGGCGATGGGACGAGCAAGCCGAGCCGGTGCTTGTGTGCGCATCGCTCCTCCGAAGCATCCTCCAATCCTGCCTGGCTACTGCGGCGGCTCAGGCCGAGCAAGGCGCCCGATTGGTCGGTTTGCAGATCAATCCCTGGTTATCTGGATCTCGGACCGGCCTCCCCCGTGCTTCCCCCTACCTCTCTCTCTCCCTCTCCATTATCTCCCTCTCCTCCTTTGCTCCTCTCTTCCTCTGTTAACACGTGATTATATAAGATAGTGATCAGGAGGCGATACGTTATCCCGATCTCATTTTCTTACAGACACACACAACTCTGAACACACCACCTGACTGTCCCAGTAGAATTTAAAGCCTCAACAAGAATACATTTATTTTTAATGCAACAAAAAATGGGGTTTCCCAGGTAAAAACCTGAAATTAAATTACTGATCTAAATGTCATCCCATTCATTCTTGTTGGAATTCTGTTCATATCTAAAAAAAAAAAAAAAAAAAATGTATCAATACAGAGTGAGTTATTTGGCCTCTCTGTCTAAATTGCAGTTTCATTTTGAAAGCTTTACAAAAAAGAGTCTCTGACTCAAACTCTGGGTAAATTACACTGACCGAGCGCTGCAGAGTAAACGTTGCACTGATTTTATTCCATTTTACTGGCACAACTGGAGATAAGTGTTTGAAACCCTTTTATCGCCATGTCAGAAAAAACTGTGTTATTGTCCTATTTCCATTAGCCTCTCTCAAAAAATCCCTCTAAAGGCTTTCCAACGGTTTGAAAATGAAGAAAAACTGCATTCCAAGTTCACCATGACATGTAACAAAATACCTGACCTTCTTGTCCTTTTATGGGATAAAATGTATGAGCAAAACACTCACTAAATACCCCCTCATGTTATACATGAGGGGGTATTTAGTGAATACTCTGAAACGTGTTGCATGGATCCAGGGGCGTAACCAGGATTTCTGTGCCCCTGATAACATAACAGACCACTCCTTTTCAATACCACACATTTTGAAAAAGTATTGAAGCTTTAAAAAGATACCACTGCCTTTTTCCTAAACAGGTGCCTTAAAAAAAAAGATTGAATCCATCAATAAATTGGAGATAAACTCCTGCACACTGTCTGAATTGCACAAATACATTGGCAACGTGAAACATTATTACCCAATATTGGGTGACAAGAACTTCTCTTATTGTTGCCGTGGCATCAAAACAGGTATCGATATCGTTCAATTCATACGAGCATTGTACTGGATCTTAAAACTCTAAAACTGTGAAACTTAGCAACAACTTTCTGTTACACACTTAAAAACTCTGCTGCAGTTTTAACAACAATGAATTAAACTATTTAATATAATGGGTTTTTTTGGCCTTTGAATTGTTTTTCGGCATCTAAGAGTTGTTACATTTTTTTTCAGGGTTAAAATGTTTTAGTTTTTTTTGTTTTGAGGTAAGAAAGAGTTAATCATGCTCATTTATTCTGCCAATTTGACCTTCATGACAGTAATTACTGAGAGTCACAAGGTAAAACTAAAACGATATATTTCACTGGGTAGTCAGTCCATTTTTCCACCAACCCATGCACGGATCTCCTTAATAGGAGTTTTAACAAGTTAAATTATGATGCCCCATATTTCAGAAACATCCTATTTCATGTCTTAAAGATCCATACTCTGCCCTTTTTGGGGTTCATATATTTAATCTATGTACCTACTAAAGTATGTTCACAATAACTAAAGTTATAAAAAAGTGTCTGTTTTCATGAACTGTCGCTCCACGCACCGGCTCACTTCTGACTCTCTCTCTAAGGCTCTGAAGCGCCCACGCCAAGTCTGATCTGATTGGTCGGCCTGTCGGCTCTGCCGTAATTGGTCAGTCGCTCAGCCACTCTGGCTCCGATGGCCGGGGAGCAAAAACCTTAGCACCTTAGCACTACTGTGCTACCGCAGGCTACGGCATATCGTGGGCGTGCTACAGAAGTTAATGGGCCTGCAACATGAGCTGCTGGGCTTACCACAACGAGCCAATGGGCTTAGATCAGTGATCTCACACTGACAAGACGTCACACTGACACATTTTTTTTCGAGGGGGGCTAGAACTGAGCGTTACATGCAGCTAATGCTACAGCTAACAGGAGGACGTAAGAGAAGCCGCGTTTCTGCAGACTTTGAATTTTTGCACATCGATGTGCCTAAACATGCACAGGACACTTGGAAAACACACTAAAGAGCAGATAAAACCAGAAAAAGCAGAATATGGGCTCTTTAAGATAGAAATGTAAAGTTTAAAAACTATATTTTCCTTGCTCATTTTTCAGACACAAAAGTAAATTTGATAATTCTATCAAAGCCTACTCCATCCTCTTATAATAGATTAGTTAACCTAAATACTTGATCCATCATTGCTTGTCGACTTTAATGCCTGTTAACAACTAATGCTGCTTTTCTTAGTTTGCTGAGCTAAAAAGTGTAACGAGGATTTTTCCTCATTGAAACACAAGGAATCATTGAAACAAACAAAAGTGAAACAAAAAGATCAACAAATGAGTTTAAAGGTGGATGAAACATCTGTGGAGATTATTTTTACTTTAGGATTAACAGGAAATAAGAGAGAAAGTTTTGGCTTCAATAAGAGAAACAGTTAGCGGCCATAAAGGTACTTATGGAACAGGTTAGGCATTCAGTCATAAATGATCTATCTGAAATATTTCTGAACAACATCAAGTTTCTTTCAGGTTTTTCTGGTTAAGATTTTTTTTTTTTTTGAGTCGTGGGGAGTTGAGTGTTACTTTCATCCCCCAGAATCTTGATGCGCCATCAGCAAAGCACGGCTGCCAATTACTCCAATGAGTTCAGAACAGTTGGAAGAGTGAGGTCAACATCTAAGCGCGGGAATTCAGGAAAGAAAGTGTGAACATTTATGAAGTTTAATTTGCTCAATTTTTTCCTTGCTTAAGAAGAAAATCCCCCCCCCCCCCCCTCCCAAAAAAAAAATCTTTCAAAAGTCAGAAAGAAAGATTCACTTTTGTGGGCTTTGAGAGTCTCATACAAAGGGGAACACATCTTCATGTACTCCTTCACAATCTTTTCTGAAACATTTGGAGCCAGAAATCTCTTCATGAAGGTCAAACTAAAAAAAAAGACATTTTCTAGTAATTACTCATTATAAATACGTTTCCAATATTTTCTTTTCATCCCTATTTTGCAAACGCTGTATTGAAACATATTGAAACATATAGAAACGTGTTGTTCAAATCGAAACAGAAAGTTGGCCTCTGTTGTTGTTGCACTACAGTATCCTTGCTATCACTCATCCCACCCAAAAGTAGACCTTCTCCTGCTTACAGACAGCAGGGTGCATCAGCAGTCAGGCGCAGCGTCGAGGTGCATAAGAGATGCACTGAGACTTTAATAAAGAATGACTTTTTGTTTTGAACTGTGTTTGCGCTGCTCTTCTGAAATACACAACAGGATCTGCAGACTTGTCTGCATCTATGAAAAACCCTTTCCTTCTCGAGTGTCTAACACGTCTGGTGTCGCCCTCAGTCTGTCACAAGGTCGGTTCCCCAGGGGGGCTTTTCAATGATGTTCGGCGTCTGAGCCATAATCTGACTGGGGATTGAGTGCACAGACAACACACACCATGGACAATCACTAACTCAACCGTTTCTTTTAATAGCACAGATAAAAACATTTTATTTGTTGTATTAAATCGAACCATCTCAAATTAGAACAATGCTGTCATCATAATGAAAACCATTTGATAGGTCGTCATTGTACTGTACTGATACATTTAGAATGAATTAGTACAGCAGCTATTAGTAGCAGTTCCTACTTCCTTATGCATTGGCCATTGACGTGACAGCTGGTGTTTCCTTGGTTTCATGGCGTCTCTGTCATGTCGGCCGCCAAGAAAGACTCGACCCGTTACAACTATGAAATTAAAGATTTCTCTGGATTTGATAACTGTTAGAAATATTAGAGGTAATAGAAATACTCGTCAAAAAATATATAACATACTGTAGGTTTAATCCATTTTTAAATAATTGAGGATATCATCACCTGCTTCTACATCTCTGTACAGCATTTGAATTTCATGGCTGTTCAGAGAGAATATTTTGCAATATTAAACAAGACTTTGAAACATATTTGAATGCTTGCTGGAGCTTAGTAAAACTATAACAGGACATCTTAAAGTGCATCTGTATAAGAAGTGTTACAAAGATCAATGGGCCTCTTGAGGCTATAATACAGTACATGTAAACACTCAACTGACAACAAGTAAACAACAAAAAAAAATAGATGACATGATGGTTTGATGCAGCATGAGCAACAAGGCACACCTAATGTGTCCTGACAGCATATCAGGACAGAGGTTTACTCAGTATCTCTTACATAACGTCTCGGATGGATGACTTATAATACAGGACACACTTTTTCAGTCCTCCAAAAAAAAAAAACTTTTGTCAAACACAAATGGAAAAATTCTCGGTCTGTGCCTCGTCCATCCTTCGTTACGAACACGTTCTCTCTCACAGTGCTTCAAAATATTTCATTCAAGGTTCCACTCAAGTGAGAGTTTGGCACTTGCTGGGCTCTTTTGGTCAAGATAAAAAAAAATCAATGTCCAAATAGATTATTATTTTGAGGTATTTTAAGTATTATTATACTTGAGGCTGGCTCTAAAAGCCAAGGAAACCCCATTAGGTCCCATATTAAGATGCCAATGTGTACAGCAGCATCAAACAGTTTTCTGCTGATAATATGTCTACACTCATGCACTTTAACTTATGTCAATACTGTCCATTTACAACTCTGTTTTTGCACATTTACATTTAGCCTTTCATATTTAAGACTAGTAATGCTTAGTTAAATCCTGGTTGTATATATTCTCATTCTTAGTTTTGATATTTTTAGTACTTATTTACTTTGTATTTAATATTATATTGTGTTTAAATGTACTAATATTATGTTTTTGCTCATATTGTGTGT